ACTACAATGCAGGCATACAAATGTTGAGCATATCTGGCACATAAATACTTTGCAATAGCAGCTACAAAAGTGCCATGTGAACGCCTGTTATCACTTTCAGGTGACATTGTAAATAAGAAGCGGGCAGCATTATCTGCCATAAATGTAAACAAACTTGACTGGCTGAACAAGAATTAGGACTGAGTGGACTTGAAGGCTCTAAAGTTTTACCTTGTTTTGTTTCTGAGTGCAGTTATGTAACAAAAATCTACATTTGTAAGTTGCACTTTCATGATCAAGAGATTGCACTACAGTACTTGTATGAGGAGATTTGAAAAATATTATTTCTTTTGTTTGCCATTTTAACAGTGCAAATATCTGTAATCAAAAACAATATAAAGTGAGCACTGTCTGCTTCATATACTGTGTTGTAATTGAAATCAATATACTGGAAAAAGTAGAAAAACATCCAAAAATATTTAATAAATTTCAATTGGTATTCTATTGTTTAACTGTGCGATTAAAACGGATTAATCATGATTAATTTTTTTAAACACGATTAATTTTTTTGAGTTAATCGTGAGTTAACTGCAATTAATTGATAGCCCTAAAAATATATAGATTGAAAGTCAATGGGTTGTAGGCACCTAAGTCACTTTGAAAATAGGACTTAGGCACTTTTGAAAATGTTACCCACAATATATTAATCATAATCAAAGGAGTTTAGGGCTTCACCCTATAGTGAGCTTTGCAGAGACAGATTTCTGCCCCCACGCAGAGCCCCATTGGTTTCATTGAGGTTCCACGTGACCACAGGGTTCATTGGAAGACTGGGGCCTTGGATTGGTAATGTAACAGTGCAGAACTGAATTTCTGTGATAGGTTTGAATAAGCTGGGTCGTAATTGAATATTATGTCAGTGCCACTAGAGGTCAGTGTCAGGTAAGGAACTGCCTAGTGTGCTAGACTGCATGAAATCCAGACAGAATTCCCCTATATTTACTGCCTTATTTATTTATTTCTTAGAGATTTGTTGAACTCTTATAGGACTGCTTTCAAAATAAAAAGCAATGAACATCAGCAAAAAAAATCCCCTGGTGATGAGCAATAGAGCAATTCTGTCTCCAGGGAAGTCAATCCAAAGGGCACATTCATACATACACTTACTACAGGGTAAACACAAGGCTCAATGGCAAATGTTTCCAGAATTGGGCACGCACTCTCTAGTTCCTTCACTGCATTGTAGAGGATAGACTGTAATTCTAAGTTATACACAGGTTCACTATATAAAGCCATAGCTGATCCTAGTAGTGTCAATGGCTGAACTACTCTTGATTTCAATGGGACCAGTATTTAGCCTATAATAACTTTCTTATAAGAGGTTCCACTCAATCGTAAGGGGTTCCCCTGAGGAGGATACTCATCCAATAAACTGCAGAAATCTCATTCTGCGGAGTACAGCAGCACATTATCTGCCAAGTGGTTTAGGTGAACCAGTAATTTGTTCTTGACATTGAAGTATCTTCAGATTTAGTTTTTTATTTGTGTGTCACTGGAAACTTTAGAATATCTTTATTCCAGAGCTTTGTTATCCTTTAAAACCAAGAAAAAGTATGCAACAGTGAAGTCATTTCTATGTATTCAGTGTAATGTAATGAATATGTATTCAATTAAATACAATATAGGTTGATTAGAAATAGAGTGAATGTTTGAGGGCTTAAGTAGGACTTTAATTTGGCATAAGATTTGTGCAAGGACTCTGCATAGTACTGATCCCAGCCAGATCACCCTCATAATCAGAGCCTGCTTTACTAATGGGTAACATAATAGGATGCGCTAGGAAGAATCACCATGGTCATTGTTTGGTTTGAAATATTACTAGGTAATGGGCACTGTCTGGATGCTTTAGCTGAAGGACCTTTGTCATACTCCAATCAAAAACGGAGACGCAGCTCTTTGGGAGTAATGAAGAGCCTGTTAATCCAGTACGCTACAAAACTGCTAGAGAAACACTCTTAGAAAATGTGTTAATAGCATGTGTGCATTGCAGCTGAATCCAAGCTGCTAGGTAATCACTACAGAGGCAGTATGCTCTATCCACACTTAATTCTGGACACGAAGGATAGATTGTATTCCACTACCGCCCCTCTCTTCAGTCTAAGTGTATCCTGGAGCAATGACCTCATTTAGGAGGCATCTGTCCGTCCCTGAATGTCTGACCTTGATCGTTTGCAGACTTGTCTTTTATACAGTGGAAAAATCAATGAAGATTGTACAAATCTAGTGAAACATGATGCATTCAGAAATCATCCCCTTGCATTTATACAATTTTATTTTATCCTGAAAAACTACATTTAGAGAAGGGAAAATGAGACACTAAAAATAACCCTTCCTGCAGAGCAAACTCCGAATAGAAATAAATTATGCATTGGCAAATGTGGATCTGATCGTTACAAATGTGGAGGATGGCAGTAATAATGCAACAACATTTCTCTGAATTAGAACAGCATCATTATGCTCATTTTAATCCATCACTTAACTCAGCATTCCAAAAGGAACTCATTTGTTATAAGCACCTCATTTGGAGAAAAGCCCACAGGAGCAGGCAGGAATGGATGTGTGTGAGGAAGAGATGGAGCTCCCCATTACATTTGCTGGAGACTGGGTCTTAGATAGAGAAACTTGAATAATTAATTGAAAATAGGGGGTTCCCCCTCCCCATTAATAATTATTCACCAATATTTTTTCCTTTCTTTGACCAGTTCTGGTTTAGTGTAAATTAATTGTGCTCCATAAACGAAATTGACTCCAAACTCTCAGCCAGGTCATTGCCCCACTCAATAGTGCCATGTTGATTTACACCAGAGAAGGATCTGGCCTTCTGCTTATTTAAAAAGAGTCCCAGAGATGGCGCACACCTATGAAATCACACCTAGTGCATCATTGAAATCAATGGAGCAATGAGAGTTTACACCAGATGAGGATTTACCCCTCTCTCTCAATTCCTGGCTTGGTCACTGTGGCCCAGATCCTCAAAGATCTCATGGGAGTTAAGTGCCTAAATGCCTTTGAGGATCTGGGTCTGAGACGTTGGGCAAGTCACTTTGCTTCAGTTTCCCAATTGTTAAATGGAGAGCATCATTTTTTGCTCACTCATAGACTTTAAGGTCAGAAGGGACCATTATGATCATCTAGTCTGACCTTCTGCACAATGCAAGCCACAGAATCTCACCCACCCACTCCTGTAACAAACCCCTAACCTATGTCTGAGTTATTGAAGTCCTCAAATCGTGGTTTAAAGACCTCAAGGTGCAGAGAATCCTCCAGCAAGTGACCCATGCCCCACGCTGCAGAGGAAGGCGAAAAACCTCCAGGGCCTCTGCCTCTGTGAACTGCTTTGAGATCTATGAATGAAAAGCTGAAAAGTGTGACGTATTATTTATTATAATTGCAATGCCCATAATCGATAAGCAGCAACAAACAGGTTTTCTGATTGTAGCTTCTAGGGAACTCTTCCTAGACAAGTTTTTAGCATCACACAAATGACTTGCAATCCCACCTAAATGGTGAGAACATTTAATTGACCGACGCAAGGGACTCTCTAACAAATCTTCAGTAGGCTGGGTTTGGGGCCTGCTGCAAAACTTGTCTATTTTCTCTGGTCTTTGCCTTAAGAAACCCATTGGGAAGTGTTGCATTTTTGTGGTGTTTTGGGGAACACTTTTCATAGCTGAATGACCTCAGTGGACCAGAGCTCCAGCTGATGTGACTACACATTGCTGTCAATCTAGTGATGTCAATTGAGCTATTTACACCAGCTGAGGATCTGGTCTAGTATAGATTATTCTTGGTATTTGTGTGTGTAGTTTTAGAATAACCAGATCTACATTATGAAACCCCACACACGGATTCCAAGAATATCACACACTAGGCCAGATCAGGGTCGCTCCATTTGTATGTATACATATACAGAGGAAGTGTTTGAGTAGAACTTGCGCCAAACTGGGGGTAAACAATTCTCTAGACATTATCAAGGAATTCCCCTTCCCCTACCCATTTTTCACTATTTTTTTTTTATTTTTTCTAGTTTTTTCCAAACCAATCCAGAGGTGAGGGGAACAGACCTGAACCCTGTCTCCATGTCTCTCTCTCTCACACACACACACACACACACACACACACACACACACACACTCTTCCCACTGACTTTTTTTAAATCCTTCTCCTGTGCCATATTTGTTGGTCACCATTTATACACTGAACAATAAATATGTGCCCTTACTCTTTAAAGTAGCTAAATAGCTGGAAGAAGCAGCAGCAGCATGTGCCAGCCATAAAATCCCACAAGGTTGGGAGCTGGTTTTTTTTGTTTGTTTGTTTTTTTGAAGGCAAGATTAGAGTCCTGAACAGCTTCCAAAGACGACTGGAAAAAAACAACCGCCGTGGGAAGTGGTCGAGGAATCCTTTCGTGAGCTGAATGCAACTCCGGAGGCATTTGCCAAGGCGATGGGTGGCTGGAGGAGAGGGATTCCTTCACTTTTCAGCACCCTGGACAGCACTGCTCTACCCAACGGCGAGCAGAGCCGTATTCTGCCTTTCCCCTGGATCAGCTGTTAAGCTGGGAGCCCAACGCCTTTGCTGGTTTCTGCATTGCTGGGATCAGCTCTGGGCACTTGGCCTCTCCCCGGGATAGCCTAGCAGATCTGCACGCCAGGGGCGGCTGGAGGGAGCTCATGGCTCCCCACCCCGGCCGCTGCCTTGCGGGGGTGATTTCCAGCCCCCAGCGCTGAATCAGCATCCTCCCGTGCAGCGGGCACCTCTCCCGGAGGATTTCATCACGCGGAGGTTGTCCGTGGAGCCATCCCCTCCCCGCCGGTGCAGACAGCCCGGCTCTGAGCTCACCAGTTCCGGTCACGTTGCTGTGTGTTGACGCCTTCGCTGGCTGGAAGCTGCGCTCCCCGGGAGCCGGGGGCCTTGCGACCCCGTCCTCTGCGCTGGGGGGACCCGGGCACCGCTCTGCCATGGAGACCGCCACGTCGGAGCCAGGGCGCCAGGAGACCCTGGAGCAGATCTAGGGCAGAAGGGAGAGAGGGGCTGCGGGGGTTGCAGTGCCCCCCCCATCTGAGGATTTTGGGGGGTGGGTTTTGGGGATGCGGGTGGACGCTTGGAGGTTGCACTGGCTTTTCTAAGCCTCCCCCCTTCCTCCACCCCAACAAGCTTTGTCCTTGTCCAGCAGCTGTGCAACACCTCCCTGGATGACACCCTGCAGCTGCCAGCACGTTCGCCTGTCGCCTCCTCTTTCCTCTCAGGTGAGAGAAAATGGGCATGTTGTATGGTGGGGGAGATCTGGTCTTGGAGATGTGTGTGTGTGTGGGGGGGGGTGAGACACAGAAAGGCCGGGGGGGGAGAGAAGAGGGCATGATTGCATGGGGACTCCTGTGTTTACGAGTGTCCTTAGCTGAGTGGGACTAAGATCCGGAGTAGCTTCAGAACTGGGATGATCAGGACACAGTACAGGATGACTTTGCGTGATGCTCAGATCTGTCCTCTCCTTTAAAATAGGCTGGGGGGGGGGGGGGGCGCGGGAGTGCCTTTGGTGCCTGGTTAAACTCAGAAAAGAATTAAAGACTAAAATCTAATGGGTTCAGCGCCTGTTCAGTGACCCTGACACTAACTTCTCTAATTCAAACAATGCCTTGAGTCCTCACAAGGCCCATTTCACTGAGGCTGGGGTGGTGCAAGGCACACAGGGGGTGGGTGGTGAACCCAAGCTATTTGATGGCTGGGGGTGGCTCTGGTATCCCTGCCAATGCTGAATTATTAAAAGCCTTTATAAACCTCCTTTCTCTCCACCCCACATGAGAGCATTCCCTTGTGCTCTCCAGCTAATGAGGGGCTTTAAAGTGGTTCCAAGCTACAGTCCTTTCCTGCAGGAATCAGAGAGCTAGCAAAGATTTAGCTTTTCTAGGGCCAGCAGAAGTAGCATCTCCTTAAAAGGGATATGCAGTCGGGTTTTAGACCTACAGCAGTGACAGGGTCTTGTGTAACCCAGGGGAATTTTTCCTCCTGAAGTTGCCTGGAGCCCTTCTTGGTGCAGTTTTAGAAGTTGCCTAGCCCCTGGCAGAGGGGCTGATGGCTCTTCCTTCCTGGAGCTGCTGGTGAAGATGGTTTCAGAAGTGCATAAGACTCTGCAATTGCTGGTGAAAATAGGTAGAGTCCATGAGAGTTTTACCACTGAATTCAGTGAGTGCAGGATCAGGCCAAAGGAATCACTTCTTATGATCTCTGCACAGTGTTGATTGTGGCCCAAATTCTGCTCCCAGCAATGCTAACATGAACCTAGAGTAATTCCCGTGAAGCCAAAGAGAACAGAAGTTGGCCTTATATGTTTAACTTATGCAGTGAAATAAAAAACCTTAGCTGTTGGCTGTTACTCAGGCAGGAATGTTTAAATAATTGATAGGAAACAGATTTTTCATTCATATATATTTATTTAAAGCTTAAGTCAGGGTAAAAGAGATAAGACTAGCAAATAGGAATCTTTTGGTGAAACCCTGGCACCATTAAAGTCAATGAGAGTTTTGCCAATGACAGCGTTGGGGGTGGGGGAGTATCAGGATTTTGCCTCCAGTTTCTGGTCCTGGCTTTGCCACTGCCTCTGGGACCTTGGGAACTCACTTAACCTCCCTGTCCTTAACTTTCCACAAAAGGAAAAAGATTAAGCCTCACAATACCAGTGCAAAGTAATTTTATATATATATATATATATATATATATATATATAAATATATAAATATATAAATATATAAATATAAATAATGCTCAGATCTTCAAGTCAAACGTGCTATCGATGTATATAATATATCAGTAATTATGCTGTGAGTGTGTGTTATTTTAGGAAAATGCAGTGGGAGAGATTAGGGAACTAAAGTCTGAAAGATCTGGCCCCTTGAGTAGGTCTCCTGACTGCTAAACTAGCTAGCTTATCATTTATGAGGATACAATTTACATGAGTAAAGATTGGGCCTTAGTAGTGTGTTGTTCCTTGGTCTGTATACACCAATACCAACATATTTTACACACACACACACACACACACACACACACACACAAAATGCATAATCAGAAATTAAATCTTTTGCTTTTGTTTAGCCAACGTTTTGGTATTCAGTAGAACGTTAGCCTGAAAGCATCTTCTTAGGCTGCGTCTACACGATGAGCCAGGGGTGCAATTCCCCTGTTTGTGTACACATACTCATGCTAGTGCTCAAGCTCGCAGGAGTATAAGCAGTTGAGTCGCGCTGAGTACAAACCTACCTAAGCTCTTCCTCGGCTGCCGCCGTGGCTTCACTGCTATTTGTACTTGAGCTAGTGCAAGTGTGTGTCTATAAGCAGGAGAATCACACCTCTAGCTCATGTAGACTTAGACTAGCTGACTATACAACAAAAGCCATCGGTTAGTAGATTAGAAACTGCACTGATCATTCCATCTACTTTTCAAACACTGGTTGAATTACTTCATTACTTGTGACTATTATTAATTAGCACCCAGAGGCACATACAGATCAGGGCCCCATGGTGCTAGGTACTGTATGTGCATACAGTAAGAGACAGTGCCTGCCCCCAAGAGTTTACAGTTTCAAGTGACAAGACAAAGGGTAAAAGAAAGGAAGCATCACCACCATTTTACAGATGAGGAAATGAGAGAGAGATTAAGTGACTTGCCCAAGGTCACACAGGGAGTCTGTGGCCAAGCTGGAAACTGAACCCACATCTCCGGAGACCCAGTCCAATGTCTTAACCATGAGACCAACCTAAAATGAACTGATCCTCTTTTCCAGGGGTTCTCAAACTGGGGGTTAACACCCCTCAGAGGGTCACGAGCTGGTCAGCCTTCACCCCCAACATTTACAATAGTGTTTAATATTTTAAAAAGTGTTTTTAATTTATGGGGGGGGGGAGAGGTCATACCCAGAGGCTTGCTGTGTGAAAGGGGTCACCAATACAGAGTTTGAGAACCACTGCTCTTTTCTAGTTGGTTTATTTTCGTGTAGCATGTTTCACCAGCACAAGTCCTCTGCTGACCTAAAGAGCCTGTGCAGTATGAACTCCCTCCAGGTGAGGCACGTTGGTGGAGTAGCGTACAGCAGGAGTTGCAACAGACAAACTTTCTCCGCACGGCTCTACCAATGTGTCTCAGCACTGCCTAGGAAGGATCATTTCTAGGGGCGAGAGTAGTGTGAATTCTTCATGCCCACTGAAACCTTGGTCCCACTGCTGAGCAACAAGCGTGCTAATGAGTGTCAACTCAGGAGCGTTTTTTACATAAAGCTTTAAAAAGGCAGAAGTGCAAAATATTGACATTAAATAAATAAAAATGTTAATGTGGATCCTATGGGCCAGATTCTCATTGACACTAAGGGCCTGTTCCATCCACTCTTAGGTCCCTTCTAAGCTGCCAGTCTAATGAGAGTCTGGCTTTACTAGTCCAAAGGGAACTGGACAGACCACACTCATTTCACGAGGCTACTGAACAACCACCCAATGGTCTGACCGTTAAATCATTGCCCACATGAGCTGGATATGAATTTGCAACACCGTCGTGAAAGATTCTACTTCTTTCCCCTCTTCAGAAATACCTCCTTGTCTTTATTAGTATGCTGCCCAGTGCCCCAGATTCCTCCTCCTTTAGGAGCAGGATGGTGGAGGGAAAGATTGCTCTTTTAAAAGTATAATCCATATAAACTGAAACCCAGTTCCTAGATCTCCATGCATCGGAAGGGATGACCATGACATTTCTGCTTCATCTATTATTTAACTTTAAAAAAAAGAGCCCAGGTTTCAAAGAACATGGCTTAATAAAAGCATCTCTTTTGGAGGAATAAAAAGCGCATCACCTTCTAATGATCCCTCCTACCAAGCCGATCAGCCAGTACAATAGGGAGTGCGGAATGTTCTGGCCACAATTTTCAAGTTTGAGTGCCTAAGGTCAGGTAACTAAAGTCATCTTTAGGCACCTAACTCATCAGGTTTATTTTCAGAGGCCTTGAGCACACACTCCCATTGACTGCAATATGAACTGCAGGTGCTCAGTACCCCAGAAATCCAGGCCACTTTCAGTTAACCCTCACAATCATTGTGTGTTATAGGTAAGGATTAACCCCATTTTATCTTTGCGGGCACTGAAGTACACAAATGGCCAGATTTTGAAAGGTATTTAGATGCCTAAAGAAGCAGAGAGGCCCCTAGTGGGATTTTCAGAAGTATCAAGAGCACCAGATCCTCAAAGGTATTTACACTCCTAACTCACACTGAAATCAATGCGAGTTAGGCATAGTGGGATTTTCAAAAGTGCCACTAGACTCCTAGCTGCACATTCAGGTGCCTAAATACCTTTCAAAATCTGGCCCTATATGCCTTGCCCAGGACCATCCAATGAGTCAATGGAGATGCCAGAGTATCCCAATGTCCACACTTAGTTGCTGATGCAAGGTGTAACATTTTTGAAGGTACCTAAGTCCCTAAGGCCCATTTGAAAATGGCACTTGGGCACATTTTGAAATTTTACCCATGACCAACAAGTGTGCATGAATACCAATACTATCTTCTCAAATGGCTTGTGTAGATTTGAACCACTCCCCGTGTATCAGAATAGATATTAAAAAACTAAAGGGTACAAAACTTCAGGTGGGGAGGACCCAGTTTTGTTTATTCATTGATAGGAAGTGTCTCATGAAGGCCCTAATCCTGTTCCCACTGAAGCCAATGGCAAAACTCCCAATGACCAGTGCTGCAGGATCAGACACTATGTAAACTGGACACCTTTGACTTCATCCACGCAGGACAGACAGACAGCAACTTATCCAGAGAAATTGCCAGCCCAAGGCCTAAGCACCACTTAAGATCTATTTAAGCCTTCAAACAGGTGAATTTCACCAATTATGAGCTATTTAACTGGGAAGAGAAGAGTGGTGATTACATGTTACCAAAATGGAAGCCGGCTAGAAAGGAGATATCAAATCAGAAACCCAAGAGGCGCAAAGCATTTCCCCAAGCCAAGGAGAAATATCAGTTTTTCTTGGGTTTTATTCCAAAATTTTGCTACAACTGTAACTCCCTACACAACTCATTAGCTCTCACCTGGAAAGGCAACTGTGTGTTTCTACTGCACATATTTTCACAATGGAGAACCTAGTTCCATTTTCCCTGTCTGAAAATGTGCAGATATTTCAGTGCAATATATTATGTTAAAGAGCCACAATATGGCCTTGTTTTCTACTCAAATATTAAGACTGAGAATTTCACAGGA